TTCCGACTGAAAGGTTTTGTGGTAAATTTAATCTAGCATGTTACTAGAAACAGAAGTCTTTTCCCTTGTCATCAAAGGCAATACAAAGACTCAATTTAAGCATGAATTTTTCATACGCAGAAATTGGTCGAGTAAGAATTGGGATTAAAAAGCAGGTATTTCTCATTCTAAAAGAGGCTCATTTTTGTTGTTGTTCTATATATCATACCTCCTAGCATATTGCCAGGAGCTGGAAACACAAATAAATGTGCCCATGCATTGGGGGAGTTAATAACCTCACTGGGGAGAAAAACAACACAGGGACATGGAAGGGTAGTAATCCAAGTCCTACATGACACAGTGCCCAACGTGGGTCATGAATGAAAAAGATAGTTGTAGAACTGGCTATTCTGGGCTAGGTGGGTGGAGAAATATGCACAAAAAGCTGAACTTAGTGATTTCAGACTTCTGACCTCTGAAAGAGAATAAGTTTGTAGTATTTAAAGCCAATAAATTTGTGGCAATCTGTTATAGCATCCAGAGCAAAGTAACACAAACCGGATGCTGGATTTAATAGACAAAGACATTAAAACAGAAAGTTAAATATATTTAAAGAGCTAAAAGAAAATACAATTTATTTGGTGAATAAGAAGAAATTTCAGAAGAGGAGTTAAATGAAAATTTTGCAATCAAAAAGTAAAATAACTGAAATAAAAACCCCTCAGGGAAGGCTTATTGATTCTTTCATATGCAGCTTCTGTCAATCGATCAAAAATTAATAGATATACAAGAAGACTGGATCACGTCGCCAACAAATATGAGGAAAATGGCAGACAATAGAAGCAGAAACAAAGGTAATCCAGATATTGAAATGGACAGCTAAAGACTTTTAAATAACTATGATTATTCAATTTAGAAAATATGGAAAAAGTAGACAAAATAGATTAGGGGACAAAGAAATTCACTGAATGGTAGAATTAATAAAGAGAACCAAATATACATTCTATAAATGAAAAAATATCATATCGACATTAGGAATTCAATGAATAGGTTTAATAGCAAATTGCTTACAGTATAAGGCAGGATTAATGAAAGACAAATCAATAGAAAATATTTAGACAAAAGTGCTAAAAGGAAAATAAAAATTTTTAAAAATCAGATACAAGCATTTTACAATTTAATTTCTTTCTGGGAACTCGGTAAAGGGAGGGGCTCTCAACCCCTCAGGCATTTTTACATTGCTGGCCATGTATCATTTGATATCATTTGCGCTGATTGTATAATAGTAGGTAGATTATATTGAATGGTGTTGCTGGGTAGATTTTAAGAATAAAATTAGAACAGAAAGTGATGTTTGGCCTCAAGTACTACATGGCCTTGTAATTGTTAACATCTTGTTTTACCCCTTCTCAGAGCCTTCTGAGGGGAAACCAAAATGATTTGCACTAGTCCAAGAGGACATACAAAGGCACTAAGGAGGTTTGGAAGAGAAGTAGGTAAGGCAAGTTCTGCTGTTGGCCTCTTTCCCCAATGGTGCAGCTCCAACCCTGTGGATCGTAGGCATGGCTGTTAATCGTGAAGAGTTAAAGAACAAAAAATTTGGCCCATGTTGAAGAAAATTCTATCAACACTTACACTCTCATGGAGGAAGCACTGACTGGAGAGCCGGTTCCTATGTCTCTTTTCACCCCTTACCTGTGCTTTCCCAAAGGAGGAGAAGGAGGAGCTAGATCCGATCAATGGGGATAGTTAATGAATCAAAAATCTTTCCAGAAAAGCTATAACTAACAAAAGCAGAAAAATGCTAGAATTGTGAAAACCTTAGCAGATTAAGAAAACAATAAGCACTGACTGGTAAACTATGAAGGCAAAGGAGATTGGAGAAGTTGCTGATAGAAGGATCAGGCTCATACATCCTGAAATCACTGCTCGATTACTAAATGAAGGGTAGTCAGACACTACACATCTCCTCAGCTGAATTAGCAATTCTGAAAAAGAAAAGAGAGAAAAGGAGACAAGGAGGGAGAGGGGAAGGAAGGAAGGAAGGAAGGAAGGAAGGAAGGAAGGAAGGAAGGAAGGAAGGAAGGGAAGGAGGAAGGAAGGAAGGGAAGGAGGGAGGAAGGAAAAATCTGCATCTAATCTAATATCTAGCTCTACCTTTCAGTTACAGCAAAGGCATGGAAGAACATGAGAAACAATAAAATGGAATTCAAACAGCCAAATCCACACTGTGGAACATTCCACAAGAAAAAACAACTTGACGTCTTCGGTAAATAAAAGGCAATAAGCAAAGGGAGGGAAAACTCTAATAGATTAAAAGCAATTTAATAGACACATCGACCACGTGTGATGCATAGGCCTTGTTTGGATCCTGGTTTAAAAACAACAACAACAACAACAACAACAACAACAACAACAACAACAACAACTGTAAAAAGACTTTTGAAGTAACCAGGGGAATAAAAATACAGATTAGATATTAAATAATATTACAGATTTATTTTGTTTTGTGTGTTTTGAGATAGATATTGAAGTATTTATAGGTGAAATTACTAAGTTTTCTAGTATTTGGTTTTAAATATTCTAGAGAAAAAAATCATAGGAGGGGATAGATGAAACTAGAATGGTAGGATGTTAATTGTTGGTGAAATTAAGGCATAGATATGTGAGGTCATTTTGCTACTTTCTCTGATTTTGTGTCTTGTTGAAGATTTCGCTGAAAGTTAAAAACAAAGTGGAGGGTTTACTGTGTCTCCAAAGTTCTGAACAGGTTTTTCTGGATACAGTGAGCCTGACGAGCTTCCAGTCCTTACGTGGAGAACAGACCAGACAGCTCCCTCTCTGGCAGACAGTCAGAGCTCTGCCTTTTGTTCTCAGACTTTCTCTGCCTGCAACTAGGTGAATGAGGCAAGGTCATTCGGGTCCCATTCTAGCTTTAGAAGTATCATCAATCTCTTTTTTGGCCTCAGTTCCAAACTGCATCTTCCAGCACAATTAGCCCTGAACTCCTTACTTTGGAAAATAAAACCTACCCTTTGAATCCAATTTAGCTTGGATCTTTGCGATTATATTCTATCAGCAGAACTCTGGAGGGCAGACAGTCGTCTGAACCTGACCCATAACTGCAGGGTGCTAGTCAGATGAGAGAATTACAGAACAGCTGAATCGAGGGAAGGTATTTTGAGGATAAAGGAAAATTATACATGGTCTCAAGCGAAGGTCAATTATCCAGGGCAATAGAAATGTTTTTAAAAAATTGAGAAAGTAGGACTGAGTGTCGGAGGATGTCCCTAAGAAAGCAGAATAAGGACCAAAGACAAAGTAGAAGAATTAATATCAGAGAGAGAGATGATTTATTGTTCTGTAGATTGGTGGAAAGAAGAAAAGGGATAAAAGAAACTACAGAGGCAAGTTGAAATAGACATAAAGGAGATTAAAGTGGTTTTTCTCTGGTGGGTGAAATATTTGGAAAAAAAAGGAATAGAGAAAGAGAGAGAAAGGGAAGGGGGTTGTGCCCAGGGCTAGAATAAAAACAGCAGTGGTATAAAGGCTCACCTGGCTACACTTTGGTGATGGCCCAGGAGCTGGGCTATTAGACAGAGTGAAGAAGAGAGCTACCCAGCTTCCAGGTTCCAAGTGGACCTTTGAATGCTACTCCATGCTGGGCACCCCCATGGATGGGCAAGCCAGGGCCTCTAGTGAAATAGCGCATTCCATATGCTACAGAAAGGCACAGGAGAAGTTGGCTCAGAAGGTAATGAGGTGGAAAGAGCGCCATCATGCAGAAAAGTTCATGTACAGAAACTACTGGCTTTCCTGCCCCCCGACCCCCCGCCGCACCTCCAACCCCGGCACACCTGGCAGAGGTTTCTGAGGAACATCCTCACTTAAGTCTAAGTCAGATGTAATGTCTTAGAAGAACATGAAAACCACTAAGCACTCCTGTGGTATGCTTTCTTCTGCTCAAATCATCTATTCCAGCCTTACTCTATAACTGATTCTTAAAATTACTTTTGTTCTCTAAACACGGAAAACATAAGCTTCGTGTAAATATAATTGCGGCAAAGCTGCATTTTCACAGAAAAATACTACCAGCCTATTCAATGATTTTTAAATTAGTTTATTAATTATATCAACACGTTTGCTAGGGTTTTAAATATTCAGACTAGGCATTTCCTCAAATATTTACACTTAGTGATAATTATGCACATACACAATTCAAAAATAACTTTAGCTATTACACTAGAGGGCATATTTTCATGATAGTCACAAAAGAGAAAGGTATCTAAAGAGAATTAGTGTTTCCTTCAATATTTCACCACAGATGGAAATCAAAACTATGTTATATTTTATTTAATACCCAATACATACATAGCATTTAAAAGTATTTCTGTTCCCCAAAAGTGTTCTCTCCTTCCCCAGGACATGTTGATAATTACTAATACAACCTGATAATTTCAATAACAACTTTGAAAATGATCTACAACAAAAACATAATACCCCAAATATCTTACAGGTATTCATTTTAGCTATTTTCACTGACGTCTTCGAATTGTCTCAAGTGTATGATCTGGCTTGCTTTAATCTACAAAACTGAATAAAGCCTAGTGAAAAATATAGTTTAATGACCTCAAAGCAAAGTTTGGAAAAAAAAAAAAAAAGGTTTAATGACGAGAAATGTAAAACAAAACAAAACAAAATGAATGTTGAAAAAGATAGAAATAATGCCTTGAATAGTCTAGGGGTTTAATACAAGTAGGTCTCAGTATGAAGCAGTATGAAACTATGAGTGAAAAACTAGCTTTCTCCTATCTTGGCCCTAACTTACTGAGAGACCTAGCACAAGTGTTCTCCAACGTGGCCCTGAGTTTTTCAATAGTTCCAATTTTATATTTAAATCCTTTACTGATTGCAAGTATCCCAATCTTATATCTACCCAACGGAAGATCTCGATAAATAGGTTGCAAAGAACTCCTAGCAGTTCTGCCTTGGCTTTGGCACAGAATTACTCAAAGACACAATATTTGCTGAGAGTACCTTGAGGGAGATATTCTGGACTTCTCTGAATTTCTAGGGAAATTATCAGCGGACTTTCCTCTGTGGTTGAGTAATGAAGTATGTCAAGGGTGGTTTGAGTAACCGATTTTCTTTGCTTGCTCCTGGTCCCCACTTGCTTTGCATCTCACCATTGAACAGATGGCCCGCTGGAAATTGTCATTGACCACCACATACAGTAATAGGTTCCCAAAGGTGTTCAGGGCAGCTAATGGTTTAGAAACAATATAAGCTTCATAGATCTGATTCTCAGTAGAGCAGCTGATGGAAAGCAGGCGAGATTCAATCCGAATGACCCGCAAGATATGGAAGGGCAAAAAACATATATAAAACACGAGAAGTAGCAGAATGGTTAGCCTTCTAGCTTTCTGCTTAAGACAGCTGCGAGTCTGAGGACCTTGGGTTAGGGTGTAGATAATCATTGTGTAACAAAGTGTCACTATCACCAGGGGAAGGCAGAAAGTAGTTGTGGTCAAAATTACATTGTACCATTTGAGAGTGATGAGGTCTTCTGAACTGGTGAGGTCAAGGCAGGCAGAACGATTGGTCTCGGTGGTTGATGTGATCAAGAAGTTCATTGGAATGACAGCCATCAGGGAAATGATCCATACCACAGCACAGGCCACCACGGCCCATCGAGTTTTGTGAACGGAAAAGCAGCTCATCGGGTGATTGATCACAAAGTAACGGAAGATGCTGAAACAGGTGAGGAAGAGGATGCTGCTGTACAGGTTGAAATGGAAGCCAAAGCGGATCAACTTGCACATGAAATCCCCGAAGATCCAGTTCTCGCCACTGGCGTAGTAGTGAATCAGGAAAGGGAGGCTGGTGAGATACAGCAGGTCTGTGCAGGCCAGGTTCAGCATAATGACCGTGCTGCTTTTCCAGGGTCGCATTTTGAAAATGTAAGTGGAAATTGCCACCGCATTCCCTGGAAAGCCCACCAGGAAGATGATGCTGTAAATAACAGGGAGGTAGTGCCTCCTGAGTGAGATTTTTTCATCAGTGCAATTACCAAAAGCAGCTGCATAATCAGAGAAATCAGATGCATTTGCAAAATCATCTAGTGGCTCATTCATGGTTGTCTCCTTTCATCTTGCAAGAAAACAAGAGAATTCAGTTTGGCAATATGAATTGACAGAAGCAACTCCCTGATAAAAGAAAATAGAAAACATTAATGTTAGAGTAATGAAAACAATGATCCACTTTTAAATGAAAATGGCTCTAACATCCTAAATTTGCCACTTTTTCCTCTTTAATCTCAAAAGAGATCCTGTGGAGAAGAAATTGAATTTCTAAGAAAATGGCTGTGAGGCGAGTTACTAAAGACATCTAATACTAATATAAAAGTTAAATTACCATGAGAATTAATATGAAAGATTGGGGGAAAAAACCCACGCAGTGCTGTGGAAAACAATTTGACAAGGTTGCTGTTTGGGCAAGCCATAGGGTATCACCATTAGAGATTTTAACAAGAAGACCCATCATTAATCAAGTGTGTCATACTTTACCTCTAAACTTGACAAAATGCTGAGAAGTATTTCTTATTATCTCTGTTTCACAGAAGAAATGAAGACAGGGAGGTTATGCAACCTGTCCCTGGTAACATTGCTAGTGGCCTAGTGGCATGGCTCAGATCAGAACCCAAGCTCATCTGAGTTAAAAGTTATTCTCTTTCTACCTTACCTCACTGGGCTGCCTGTTAATCTGTATTACTCTAAATAATTGATGGAACAGGAAGTGCAAAGGCATTGAAAGACTGAACACTGGAAAAATTTAAAACGTAGATTTCATGCACTGCAACATGATATGTATATACGGTAGATTTAATTTTAAATGTCAGCTCTTCCAACCCATTTTAATTGCTAACATAATTCGTTCCGGGGACTGGGGGCTGCAGGGGGAGGAGGAGCCACTTTAAGAGCTTGTGCTCTATCACCAGACAGACGGCCTGACCTTGATTCTCAGTTTAGCCAAAGAGTAGTTGTCCTTAAACAAGTCGTTTAAGCTCTCCAGGGCTGGGAGGAGTGGGATTTAAATTTCCTTCTTCTCGCTTATCAGTGTTTTCTAAAACTTTGAGAGTGGATTTCTGCAATGAGAAAAGCATGAAGATCATATAAAAGAATTACTAACAATTAACTTATTATTCGAATGTAAATAGCCTTTGGTAAAATGCATCCACTTACACATTTATGGAATGCCCACTGTGTATTAATTAGGCACTCCGCCAGGTCCTAGAGATATAAAATGAATAACACACACAGATGTACAAACCACTATTGCAGTCTACTGGGGAAAATGGACATGAAAATAATTTTAACAAAATATAACTGTACCTCATGGGGCTGTCAATATACTAAAAAACAAGGCAAGAAAAACACTTGGAACACAATTGGGCACATAATAAGTGCTCAGTAAATGTTAGGTGGTTGTTAATAACCAAGTCCTTTGATAGATGAATGGTACAAGGCTGCTGAGATCACGAAGAAGGGAGGGAACGGCTACTTGGAGACTAGTAGAGGGCACTAAAGGAAGGTCATGTACCAAGGAACATATAAGCTGACACTAGCAACAGGATGAGAAAGGCGTTCCAGGCAAAGAAAATAGCATATGCAAAGGCACCCAGATATGACAGAATTGAAGGGATCAAGGGGAGCTCAAAGTAGCAGAGTACGGCTACTATATTGGGGGCACTGGGAGATGAAGCTGGAAAGGGAAAAAATCGCTAATAATAAAATGGTACCTCCTGTGTACAAAGCACTCTTCTACGTGTCTTATATGTATAAACTCATTTAATTCTCACAGCAACCTGGTGAGGTAGTGCTGTGATCATCCCCATTTTACAGATGAAGAAACTGAAACACAGAGAAGGCAGTGATCTGCTTAAGGTCACACAGATATTAGTACTAAACCAAGATACAGGACGGGGTAGTCTGTCTGCAGAGCTGAACTGCCTCTCACAAGTAGACAAAAGGCAAATAAGTGCCCTATAATAGCAAAGACGAATTAGACTTTATTCTGGAAGAGCTCAATAAATCAAACTCCTAAATTGTGTGATCTGAGACTAAAATGTCCATAATACCAGAATCCACCACTTTGGGTTGAGAGAGGATTAAATGAATTAATATAAATAAAGTGTTTTGAAGGGTGCCTGGCAAACAGTAAGTGCTGTATCAGTGTCTGCCACCATTACTACTATTACTTGGTACTAAAATCTACACTATCAGCTTTTCTCAGCATACTACAGAGATATATTTCATACTGGCCCAACTTAAATTTGAAATTAGTAGATTTCTCTGTTGATTCATCTTGAATATACTATACTCTTCCAGATCTCACTTAGGGTGCAGATCAAAATGCATTTAAACATTTATTACTTTATTCAGAATAAATTGGAAAAAGAATGACACAGAGATGCAAAACTTGCCACTGGGCAGCTGTTAGGGGAGGCCCGTGCTCCCTGGGGCCATGTATTACCTATTAAAAGTGAATGTTTCTCTTCTTGTCTCTCACTGGCAATGCTATTCCTAGAACTATCACCTATGCAGCAGTAGAGGGGAAAGGAGTCAGGTGCTATTGGCCAGCAAGGATGCTGTGAAGCCAGGAAACTGCAGTGGAGAGCGGTTTTTCCCTTGGCCAACACCTTACATGGGCTCATGGACAGATAGGAGGCAATAATTTGAACCTAAAGAAAATGATCATGGTTAGGCAGTCCATGAAGCAGCACTGCCTGAAGTCAGTTTTTAGAAAGTCAAGATTTAAATCCACACTGCATGTCTGTCAGCTCCTTGAAAGCAGAAACATGAAGTCACATTGTACCCCAGAGGCCCCACACACAGAAGGTGCTCAATAAATATATGCTGTATACCTACAAGAACAATGAGGAACATCAGCAAAATTTATCTTGTGCTGAAGGGTTAGTGAAGCAGCAACTATTATTTAAAAAAAAAAAGTTTGGTTCTTTAATGACTTTTAAAGTAAAATGCAAAATTAATTTCTGCCATTGCCTTGCCATGTTATGGGGCCACTTTAAACAATAATCTTATCAGGAAAAGACAGGTTGTAGGTAGAAACAACCAACTTATTGTTTTGATAAACAACAGTTCAGCTTGGGATTTAATGAAGTTGATTGACCAATTGCAAGAGAGGAGGGGCTGACTAAAAAATTTAACCCTCACCAAAAGAATGGTTTGAGTTTACAAAATATGTGCAAAGTTAAGAACAGCAGACAAAAACTGTTCTAGGCTGTGAGCCAAGCAGAATGAAGTAGCCTCTTTCTCTGGTAGTCCCAGGATCCTGTGCAATTCACTCCTACTGCCCAGAGCACCAGATGTCCAAAAAGAAATCATTTTCATTCAAAGGACATTAAAAATTAATGTGGCGTATTCCCTACTCTTTGCTACAACAGTGGATCTCAAACAAAGGGAGATTACAGATCACCTGGAACTGATGGGCTCTATATAAATCAGAAATAATGATCTATTAAGTTTCAACATAACCAGATATATAATTTTGAACTAAACTAGATGCCACACAAATAAAAGCAAGCACCAAAGATTTGGGAAAATTTTATAAAGGAAAAATACAATTTTAATCTTCAATTTTTTTTTCTCTGTAAATGGGATGAGACTGTGATTGTTTGAGACTAATTCCAAGATATTAATGTTTTGGGAACACCCAGCTTGAGGACCGCTATCCTAATGCCATTATGTGGATAAAGAAGGCAGGACCAGAAATGGTGTCTAATCAAGTGGCAGCATATATTACATCACATCCATAGAGCATTCTTGCCCATTTGGTAGGAACAAGTAAAGCAGGATTAATGTTAAAATGATTTTTTAGGGTATCTGCTAATTTTGTAGTAAACTCCATATCTAACAGCCTCCCCCCACTGCAGCTCCCCACCTACCACAGACACCCTCGGGTTTCTCTGGTGCCCTCCAAAGCTGAGTTAATCTCCATTCTCTCCTCCTTTCCCAGCTGCGGGTGGACCAGGGAGACATAAACGTGGAACGCTTCACCTATCACCTTCCTTCAGCGTTCTGGGAGACTCCGCAGCTGGGGTCACATTTGGTTACCAAGAAGAAACTTAGATAGACCTTTCATTCACAAAGATTCATCTTGGTTTCCTCTTCCACATATTTGTAAACTACTTTGATTTCCTACTAGTGGGAAACAGACCAATTCTTAACGCAGAAAAATGTATGACGTGGATGAATGTTGCATTCCCTTAAGTCTGAAGGAATCCCTCCACCCAGCTCTTTCCTGAATCCCAGCTTTCAAATGAGGATCTGCAACTCAGGCATCCTGAAAGACATTTAGGCCCAAAGCTTTGATTTTCGTTAGCTGTTTGATCTCTGGAGAACCAAATAAAAACAGGGAAGCTCTTCACAGAAAAATGCACCTATGGACACAAAAATGGTACATACAATTTAGAGGTTTAAAGACAATTGGAAACTAGTTTGCTTAATCTATAGCACAAAACAAGACAAACGAAAGGCATTTCAGAAGAAAAAGTTTTGCTGGTCTGCTTGTTTTAGGGGTTGTGGCCAGTATCCTTGGGCATTGCCAACACCATAAAGCCTAGAACTACACGTGTGAACCAAGAACGCATCCGAGGGTGCAGAATCGATAGAGGTAGGAGATGAACTGTTTGTCGCCAAAGTCCCCCAAAGACCCCAAGCTTTGTCGTGAAAAAGACAGGAGATGAGATCGATAATCCAGAACTTTTCCAGGTCTCCCTGAGACAAATCTCAGGCCATCCTAGGGTTTTATTTTTCCAAAATGCACCCCTGCCCCTGCCAGGATGTGGGGTGCTCCTGCTGCCTCCAAGAGAAGAATTTGGGGCCCCCTGCTCTGGCCACCCTCCAACCCTATTCTGCCGCAGAAACGTGTCCCGGGGTTCTCTTTTCCCTCAGGCTCGGGCACCCCCCGCCTTCCTACTCCCGGTCCCAGATAAGCGCAGATCCCCACAACCAGCTCCCTCAGGCCCGCAGAATCCGGCTCCCCAACCTCGACTCACCTGGCACCCTGGCGCGGCCGCCGTGAGCCCCGAGTGGCTGTCGGAGCGCGGCTGCACCCTGGTGGCAGG